GAATTATGAAAAGACTTCGCACGCATCCAAATTTTTCCACGATTCTGAAAAGGAATTGAATCCAAGAGGTGGTTATCAGCTGCTTGGAGTTCTCCACACAAGAGACTATTCAAATCCACTTCCCACAGAGCGGAAAAATTCAAACTCTCCCGAAGACGCAATATTCAGTTGCGTCTTTGTCCTTTTTCAAATTTGAAAAGCCGACAGAAGCTGGTCCCAGTTTCACAGTGCTTTTGAACAAATATGCTGGAGAAGAAAACTTAAAAAACCATCATTTCATACCTCGACCACAGTGCTGAAAGAACTAAGCCGTAGTTTACAAAATATCTTGGCGAATGTGAGGAGTGTTCTGCGATGAATGGGAGCACAAGAAAACGCGCTCAAATGAGAATTTGGTTTAGCGGGAAAATATGGTGTTCAAACCGATTTGAGCGCCAAATCGATGTTGCGGTAAAGCGTTGTGTTGCATTCGTCGCTTTGTCTTTTCGCTTTTCGCGGAAATAGTTTTAGTTACCATTTCCTAATTTCATCTCTTTCTATACCTTATGCTTAGAACTTGCGATGTACAGCCTTAGATATTCGAGAGAAACTGAGAAGAGAAGAAACTATGAAGAAGTTTTTCAGACATAACCATGAATGTCCCTGCAGGAAATGTCCAACAAGTTGAAGATATCGATGGTGTACGTATTCAGGCCGAATTCAGTCGTTTCATAAAGGAGTAAGCAACTCAGATTTTGCTTTCAAGAAAATTTTTGAGGAGAAGATTTTTTTGGAAGTTTGGTCGAACACTTGGATTGCGACTAATATACTGTGCTCTAAAAATTGTTTTTTGACATTTGAGAAGGTTCCTTCGAAATGGTCTCTGGATGGGGACATTTAATAGAAGTGGTGATCTTTCTCTCGCTAATAAATGAACGATCATATGTCTAGTCAGTCCTGAGAGGAGTTCAAATCATGGTGGCGACGTAAGTTCCACAAAAAGTTGATGGGATTCTAGAAGAGGCGAGGAGCGTGGCGGTGCTAGGGCATTTTTGGCGCAGTTCGGCTTGGTGGGGAGGGGTTGTCGGTTCCCATCGATTACTGTCAGTGCCTCCTGTGCTAAAATACTTGTGAAGGCTGTGGCATGAGCTTCGTTCACACCTGACAAGAGTTTACAGGTCTCACCGAGCTGAGACGTTTACTTCAACAGAAGTTAACAAGTTAAACTAGCCAAAGTGCAAAATGCCCCCTCCCTGTTCCGATTAGCGCCATGATATTTTTAATCTACCATTATACGCGTACGCCTCAACAGTAGGTTGACTCTGAGTGCGTCGATGTGAGGTGGCCCAGGAGTGCTCGTTCTATCGAAGGAGTTTTGGAATGGTTTTGTAGTGTAGTCTCATCCCATTACTACGTTCATGCAGAAGCAGGTACTTATATGCGGGAAGGTGAGAAAATCTGTGATTTTATTCCCAAAAAATTCCATGGATCCCTGAGCCGCAACACATTGATCGATGCAAAACGCACAATCGCAGCAGCTGTAAATTGTGTATGGGACATGGGTGACCGTCAACAACGTGAACTCAACCATCGCTTTGAATTTCTGTTTCTTGACAAACTCCATTGCTTTTCTAGGTTTACTGACACCGATGGCAACTTGGTCTACAAGAAACAACTTCGCGAGCTAGCTGAACCGGAGAGGAATACTCTTTTTGTTGATATGCGAGATGTCCATTCCTACAGTGCTACGCTCTACGAAACGATTGAATTGCAGTTTTACAAGTGAGCTCTTAATTACTTACTTGACTTGTCTAAAATGTTTCTAGTAAATAGAGGTAAGACTGCAGTATCCAGCCACCCTGAATGTATATTCTACTCTGATCGGGTGGGAAGAGTCGCTTGGAGGAGTGTACCCTCATCCGAGAGACCCTATCCATCCGAACAGATTGGAATCCCACTGATTGGCTAGATGGGCTAAACTTGGAAAGTGACAAGGGGAGGTGGTGATGTTCTGTACGGAAGGCGCAATGTCGAACCCTACGTGATCCTGCCCATATGATCCTGGGAGGATGTGCGGCAGATTAGGGTGCCATCAAATGAGGGAGCATTGGCTAGCGCTCATTGTTTCCAGACATGCTCGATTCAGAAAGGGCTGAGTCTAAAGAAGGGCTTAGCTTGTCCTTGTTGGGATTAATGTGGGATGCATCCGTACGTTGGGGAGAGTGCTACACAGTGTCTCTTTCCCTCTGCGAAAGCCCTGTCGTTGGTAATAGATCTAGCGAACACGACCCCCCGAAATTTCCTTCTCTGATGCGGGCCCATTTCACTAGTTACCAACATCTTGAAAGAAAATTTGTCGGGTGGCGGTAGTGTAGACACAACTCATCTATCAGAAGTGGTGATTTTGCGGCAAGGGCGACTGAGGTATAGCACCGTCACGCGAAAAAATCAATCGAAAAAAATGTGGCCGATAGCTCCTTCCCACCAGCGGCATGAGCGACCGAGGCTTCGAGCCTAAATGGCCAGAGGTTGCGGTCTTGTTCGCCGTAGATGCTGAGGCGTATCAGAGGGAGGGAATTCTTCGCAGCAAACTTATTTCTCAATAATTTTGGTCCCTTGCGCGCTAAGCTTTTGCAATTGGTGGAGAACGAATTGACGTTCCCACGTTAGCGCCTCCGGGTATTTGACGCTTCTCATTGTGTTCAGTAGACGTTAACGTTTTCAGGCTGTATCCGTACATGTGTGAAGCGCTGCAACTGGCTGCTATTGATAGCTGCGAAGAAGACGTTGAAAGGCAGCGGATGCTCCGCAAAGAAGTTTACGTCTCCTTCAAAGGTCTTGAAAACCGCGTGAATGTGAGTGGTTCTCCTTTACTCCAGTAGTTCATCTCAGTTCTTTCTCCGTTGTAAAGGAAAATTTTGTAGGTAAGAGAACTGACAGCTGAAAAAATTGGTGCGATGGTTTGCATCGACGGTCAGATTGTACGAACCCATCCGGTTCATCCTGAACTGAGCCGTGGGACATTTGTTTGTGAGGACTGCGGTGTTACCACTAGGAACGTCTTGCAACAATTTAGATATACTCAGGTAATCTGCTATCACCTGTCAAAATTGTGTTTAGTATGGTATGCTGCTGTGTTCTGCATGTAAAGGGTGTACCTTGCATAACATGCATTGGCGCTAACGGAGCAGTGTGCAATACAGTACGCTCGAAACGAGAAAAATAACGCATGCCCTGTAAATGACACGTATTGATGCGTTTTCGACCCTGATGCGATACAGGTTCTCTCCTCATTGACGTCATTAGAGTGAAGCGTTGTCAGTCAGCATTCATAAGCGTGGATTGTCGCTCGAAAGCGCTTGCTGGTGGACGCCGCTAAAGACCTGAATCGATATCTTTGTAAAATCCCTCAAACACTAACGCACACTATAAACGGACTCTTATTGAGGGAAGGTCCATGGAACCTTGAATGTGACCGAGCATATGTACGATCGATAGTTTATAAGGTTATTAACAAATATAGAAAGCAAAACTGCAACCTGCATTTCACAAGCAACTTTTGAGCAGGCAAAGTTTGCAATGGTGCAGTAGGGTGGAGGCTTGGTGGTGAGCTGTGAAGCATAAGCAAGGATTCATCGAATCGAGTCGTGGTGGTTCAGTGGTTAAGATTCTCAACGGTTCGGCGACTCGATTCGACGTATGCGATCCTTCACTTATGCTTCACAGCTCACCACCAAGCCTCCACCCTACTGCACCATTACAAACTTTACCTGCTCATAAGTTGCTTGTGAAATGCAGGTTGCAGTTTTGCTATCTATATTTGTAAATAACCTTATAGACTACATCGATCTACCCGGGTCTCCAGTTCCATGATAAGTTGGCGGACTTCCCTGGCTGGATGGGACGTCTAGCGTTTTCATAGGTAGCTGGCCGTGTTGAACGCATCCCCCTTCCCATGCGCGATTTTTGAACCACCACCTGGCAGAAAGCAATTTATAAATGCCGAGTATTTTGTATTACTGTAAGCGTAAAAACAGTTGTTCTGTAGTTTGGTCAAGAGATATAATTACTACTGCAGTATATGTTTGTTTAGCCATCACGGTGCGTTAACCCGCAATGTATGAACAGGACAAGGTTTAGTCTTGATGTGGACGACTCGTCATTTGTCGACTTCCAGAAAATAAGAATTCAGGTGAGTTAACTGAGGAATTCTGCCTTCCTGTGCGGGATTTGGTTTCGTAATAGTCCACTATGTAAAGTGAGGTGGAGGTAGGGTATGTGACAAGACAATTGTAATATGCCACGCTAGCGTGACGAGCGACGCCGCGCCCATCAGGCTAGTTGTTCTGCGTGGCTGTTTGAACTTGAACATGAGTGTCAGAGAGAAGGGGCAATCCATATTTTTTTAATTTCGATCTTGTCTTTGCTTGAATCCCTGCGAGTTTTGTTGCTCCAATTGATGCTGATCGAGAATTCGTCGCGCATGGCCGCGCGGTACATCTCGCACGGAGACGCGACTGTTCAGACACAAGTGGCACCATTTACCACGCGCACAGTCCAGGGAGCCGAATTCCGGATCGGCTCCCGTTTGGGCCAACTAATCAGGACTTTCTGTACCTCCCGGGCAGGTGAAATTGTGCAAGACGTCGAAAGGAGGAAATCAAATCGTCTCCAGAAAGCCAAAGGATTGAACAGATGTGAAATGCGCGGCATATCCTGAACAAGGATTAGCTGTCGAGAGCTTTACTGTTCTTATCCTTTGTCTAACCACAGGAGCTTGATAGAACTGTTTTAGGAAACACAAGCAGAACTACCTCGCGGTTCGGTTCCCAGGACATTTGATGTCATCGTTCGTGGTGAATTGGTTGAGTCTGTACAGCCGGGTGATCGTTGCATGCTGACGGGTACACTTATAGTAATTCCAGATATTTCGCAGTTGAGCTCCCCAGGTAAAACGTCATCTACAGTTGTAAGCCCATATATCATTGTCATTGTTTACGCTTTTCAGGTCTTAGGGCTGAAACTGGTGGTGGCAATCGTGGTCGTGAAAGGGAAAAAGGCCAAGGGTTGACAGGATTGAAGGCACTTGGAGTGCGTGAGCTTCATTACAAGCTTGCCTTCCTCTGCTGTCACATTGAATCAGCTAATACAAAGGTGAGCTTTTTGATGTAAGGTTGAAAGCATTTTGGCCATAAGAAGGCTTGTTCCACATATTGGAATATTTTAGTCGGTAACAGTACTGTACATAAGTTTTCAGTTCGGTGGCAAGGATTTTTCACATGAAACGATGGATAGCCTGTCGTTGTGGAAAGCAATGTCTCAGCAAGAACAGGCTACTTTGAAAGCAATGAGTGAGGATAAGCGTATTGCTGAGAACCTGATCGAGAGCTTGTTCCCCAACATATACGGAAACGATGAGGTACGTTTTACGTTGAATGACTGCATGAGTTCCTTAAAGGCAAAGTCCGCGATCATTCGCCATCACAGATAGTGGATTAGGAGTTCGCATATAGACGACAAGGCTCTGAGTAGCTCGAAAAAGAAGAATGAGGTAAAAACATGCCAACTACCCTAGATAGAACCCCACTTCGATACTGGTTTGTATGTGCCCCGTTAATTGCATCTCCAACACTACGCACTACTTCCCCGATAAGAACTCTACGACCCTACGAGTGACGATTTTCATGCTTTTTCGTCCTGCAGCACTGAAATGCGGGCCTTGAGGGCGGAGTCTGGAGGCGGAGTCACTGGAAAAAAGGAGGCGTCACTGAACCTATATTGCGCTACAGCGCCTCTCCCTTGCAATTTTTTGCCGCGAAACCGGTACAAGGTTGTTCGTCGTGGGTCCACACTACTCACCCGACGCAATATTTTCAACTTTATACACTCCTCATCCCTGAGCCAGAGTTAATCGTGGAATATTCCAGTCTGGAACAACTGTCATCTTGTTCTGCGTTGACAGAGACACGACAACAATTGTGTCAAGATGAAAATATCTCACCAGAAGCATAGACACCTTCAGGTTAAGTTGTGACATGCGGTCACGTCTGCCCGATCTCAAGGATTCGCGTATACCCGTACCATGCCTTTGAAGGCAGGATTGCTGGGGCGAGAGACTGTCGCTAGTGCCACTGGAGGAAGCGCTGAGTGGGTATGTCGCCAACACCCTCTAACACTCGCTCCACCAATGACGCTGAGAGCAACCTGCTCGCCTCCAGCAGTCGAGTCCACTGTCTTTTAGAACCCACTGAACGATTGATTACTTACGAGATGGACTTTTGCCAGGAGGTCATGGCGGAAATGAGCCTGAAAGATATCGATATCTCTCTCATGTCTCCGCACACTAATAAAACGTATTGGCACACCGTGGATATCGAGTTGTAGCAAGAACCAGCCATACGTGAGAGGGTGCGAACAAATAGCACATGTGGTTGGCGTTTGCTGGCCGTGTGGTGTTGAGTGTCTTGATGGAATAGAGAGAAAGGTAGAGATGGAATAATATCAGGATCACAACCAGGGTACAGCATCATGATGAGGTGGTGGTGTAGGTACGACCCCCTCACCTGAGTGAGGGTCTCGGTACGACCCCCCCCCCTCCCTTCCCCAACACCTACCTACCAATTCCCCACATTTTCCAGTCCAGTTTTTCACCTAAAAATTTTCCGTCGAGCGTGGGGGGATATAGCCTGTGTGAAACAGGAGACTTTCCTCAATTTCCAATCATTTTTTCAGAATTTTCCGAAATTTTCCTACTTTTTCCCTAAAATTTTATTGTCGAAGGGGGGATGGTATATAGTGCACATGAAACAGGGAAAATCACGCAGAGTCAGCAACCGGAAAACCAATGCAACAAATTTCTCTCAAAGGCACATACGACCTCCCTCCCAACGACCAAATACGACACCCCCTCGGAGAAAAATTACGACCCCCATGGTTTCACACAACGAAGCTGTACCCTGATCACAACCCTACAGCTTTATTTCCGCAAACTTGCCATGGGCGAAAGCGATGATCGTCTACAGCTACAGATCTGATCCCCTCTCATTTGGAAAGGGCCCCCACCTCGCAGATAATCGTACAGTGTGGCCTTCACCTCGCAATGAGAAGTGGCCATTCATTTGGTTCGATCGCACAGAAATTGTCTAAGCGGCTGTTCTTTAAGGTGAAACTGGGGGTACTGCTCATGCTGTTTGGAGGAGTAGCGAAAAAGAGTCCTCAGGAAGGAACTACACTGCGTGGTGATATCAATGTCTGTCTTGTTGGTGACCCGTCAACTGCGAAGAGTCAGATCTTGAAGTGAGTTTTGAATATGCTACAGGGAAGTCATCACGTTGATGAATAGCGCGGCGCTAATGTAGTTCAGAAGGAAGGTGGGAGACCACACCGCAGCGCGTCTACGTCTATTCTCCTAGCGAAGGTTTAGCCTTATGGCCTAGACAGTCAGAGTCGCCGCGGTCTGCTTTTGCAGGAAATGCTTTCTCTGCGCAACACTATCTGAGCCTAGGAGCCTTAAGTGGAATAAGAGACGCTGGTCTGCAGGGCCACGTCCTGCTATTTGGAAAAAATTAATCAAAATAAGATTACTCTCAAGATCCTCTTTGGTACGCCCCCTTCCCCATTCTCCCAGCTTTCTACCTTTTTCCAGACATTTTTTTTAAAATCCCATCCATTTTCCACAAAAAAGCCTTCTACAGGGCGGACAAGGGAGTTTATAGCGCTATTGAAATAGGAGAGAAAACGAGAAAAGTCAACAATCGAAACGTTCCCCACAAGACAAAAGGACTCGCTTGCTGGGTATTCCCATGGTTCCCCCTTAATACGTTAGCGTCAAGTGCTCTTTTGAAGGTAAAGTTGAGAAGAAGGGCGCAGCCTTGCAATAAAGTCCGGGAGAAAATGTTATTCACCCTGTCGGGTTTCTTTGGTTTGAAAAAAATAAGTCACATTTGTTTGAGGACTGTCGAGGAGTTCTGCCCACGTGCCATTTATACATCAGGCAAAGCTTCTACTGCTGCAGGTTTGACAGCTGCTGTGGTTAAGGTAGGTCACCACTTCTTTCTTGAAATTCATTGGAACTTACAGGTCTGAAATTCCTTGTTGTAGGATGAAGAATCGTTCGAGTTTGTCATCGAAGCAGGCGCCTTGATGTTGGCTGATAATGGAGTCTGTTGTATTGACGAGTTCGATAAGATGGACCAGAAAGATCAAGTTGCTATTCACGAGGCTATGGAGCAACAAACTATAAGTATAACAAAAGTAGGTTTACTCAAAAGATTTTGCATTCTATTTGCTTAAATGGATTATGATTTTAAGGCTGGTGTGAAAGCGACGCTTAATGCGCGTGCTTCTATCCTGGCTGCAGCGAATCCTGTTGGAGGTAGATACGATCGTTCACGCCCGTTGAAACATAATGTGCAGCTGTCCGCGCCTATTATGAGCAGATTTGATTTGTTTTTCGTGATGATCGATGAGTGTAACGAGGTCAGTTCATCAGAAAATGTTGCACTCTTCCCATGGTTTCGTTAGTTTGATTCAAATCTCTTATTTAGGTGGTTGACTATGCTGTAGCGCGACGTATTCTCGATATTCAATCCGTGCTATTTCTGATCCACAATTTCCATTTTTCGCGGGAAAAAAACAAAGTACAGCACTTGAAGATATTCAGAATATATTCAACGTTGGGCGAGTGCTTCAAGCCTCAGGTTTGCTTTTTGTCTAGATTTTTTTAATCGACTATTTCTGAATAAGAGTTAGAACAGGCGCTGTTCGGCCAGGAGAGGAGGGGCACTTTCGCCGGTTCTTGTTGTTGTTTCTTTTGAACTAACAGGTTCCACTTTAATCAGACCTGTGAACTACTGTGAGGCTGCGAACTTGTTCGAGTGATCGCCCACTTCGATACGCGAGAAAGCACATCCTTCAACAAGTGGCTTGTACAAACCGAGCTGAGCTGGGCAATTTCGTGCCACACACACACACACACACACACACACACACACACACACACACACACACACACACACACACACACACACACACACACACACACACACACACACACATGTGCGACAGCAACACAACACAGCACGACACACACACACACACACACAGCGTCCACACATCACATCAACACAATTGTCTCACACACACACACCACACAGCACATCACAGCACACACAACACACCAAGCCCACACACACACACACCACACACACACCACACCACACCCCACACACACACCCACACACCACACACACACACACACACACACACACACACACACACACACACACACACACACACACACACACACACACACACACACACACACACACACACACACACACACACACACACACACACACACACACACACACACACACACACACACACACACACACACACACACACACACACACACACACACACACACACACAGCACACACACACACATCAGGGTCACCCACACATCAGCCAACTGGCCATTAGAATTAGCGAACACAAATCTCGACGTGTGCCGTTAACCCGTTTGAACGCCGCGTGAATTGATACCACTACACGCGCATACTCACCCGAGTTCTGTCCCTGCGTTTGTGTATTGCAGCGAACAATTCACCGTTTTGGTTTGCTCGTTTTTTTCGTTGATAATAGTGGCGATTGAACCATTCTCACCGAGTATATGTTCAATGAGCTTTACTCATGCTTAGTTCTTGATGGCGTGAAAATAACTGCTCATTGGGGTAATTCATTAACATTACAAAATAACATTAACTAATTGCACTTCTTATGATTGCTATGGTTTTCTATGATGTTCCACATCACTGCAATGGTAGTAAGACTTCTAGTGATAATTACAAATGTTAATTTACAATACATTTGATAGTGTTTAAGTCGTTATGATAATAATACTGGGTCGCCCCATAAGTAATGGCGTTTTTTCTCACTCAAAATATCGCGCTGAAGAAGAAGAGTTTCTCCACTGGGTTTTATACCACTTGGCAGAGAGCTCCTTGCCCCACAGAATAGTATTCCTAGTTTGCTTCAAGTTTCTTTTTCCATTAGTATTTCAGTGATAAAAATGGTGCCAGGTTAACGAAATTGAGCATTTTCGACAGCCTCTCATTTATGCCCCTAATTAAAAAGCTAAAACCGCATGGGTCCAGTGGTAAGTATATGGCTAAAAGGCTACGTCTCGTAGGAATATTAGTAAACCTTCAAGTTATTCGGAGATTTCAGTTTCGACCCCACAGACAAGCATCGAACCTAATGCCCTATTCTGTCAGACTGAAAGCTTACGGAATCACCTTGTTAACTGAGAATCATGCCAAGGGTAGAGAAATCGTTAAGTCTTAAAATCTCCTTTGTAATAATAAAGCATTTACCTCCGCTCGAGTAAAGAATGGTTCAGACCTACGTGGATGGTTCCTGGCAAGCAAAAATGCCCCTCACCGACCAGAATTTTCCATTTGATGAAAATCAACGGAAATCATGAAATAGTAGGGAGCAACCCCACTATCATATGAAGCAGGAAATTATCTATCAAACATTGTAGAACATATTGGGAACAATTGTCGTTTTTCATGTAAAAAATTATGTGACCAAAAAAACTCAATTACGTGTGGGCCAACCCAATACTTATGTCGTAAAAACTGACGTTTAAATCTTCTACATTGTTTGATCTGCAATTCCACCTTATGCAGGCAAAAAAAAGAATGTCATTGTCAAAAGTACCCTAGAATGAGCGTGTAAAGGTATGCGTCACAAAGACCCGTTCGCGCGTTCGTAGATTCATTCATATACACCGAGCGCGGTAGACGCAATGAAAGTCAAACGGGAGTCGCCGCAAAAACGCCGCGGCGTTCAATGTGTTAAATAGCATAGGAGTTGAACCACTGTTCGCAGACGGTGTTAATAACGGAATAGGGAGGATCGGCGAGTTGGTGAAAAGAACAGACCGCAAATAATTGTTCAGCAGTCCGGCTCCCTTCCTGTTTTGGGAAATGGGAGGTCGTGGAGTTCAGAGAATCCACGAAGGGGGCTACTCGCAAATGGATCGCGTCGCCTTTTCCGCTAACAGGCGTCTTGGATGGTTACGTCTTCCGGAAATTTCTGCGTTTCCACGACTCTTCCAAAGTCCACAGGGGCGAGACTGAACAATAATTTGCATTCATCAGTTCTGCAACCCTCTCATTCCTGCAAGTTCAGGATTGTTGAAATCGATCAAAGTGCAGTTATTTCAAAGACCGTCCATCGCCGCTGTCCTACATGTTATACAACCAGCCTCACACTCTCGCTTCCAGATTAGCCCTGAAGCGGCCGAGTCGTTGGTCACGTCATACAAACGCCTTCGTATGAATGACAGTAACAATGCAGCAACTTCTTCATGGAGGATCACTGTGCGACAGCTTGAATCCCTCATACGACTTTCAGAAGCTTTGGCTCGTCTGCATTGTGCCGCACAGGTATGATATGGTGATTACTGCTCTCTACATAGTGCAACTGATTAAATCTAGAACTTTCGCAGGTCAGTGTGGAGCATGTAAATCAAGCTTCGAAGTTGCTCAGCAAGTCGATAGTGAGGTGTGTGTTTTTCAATTATTGCTCTTGTACCTTGTTGGTGTGCATTTGCTTCAAGGGGGGGGGGTAACTGTATTTTACTTTTTATTTATTAGCACTACGCTGTGCATTTATTCGAAGAAAAGTTCGATTCCAATGGAGTTAGGAATTGCGCGGCTAGGTCTGTTCGGCTGCGTCTTCCCTGTTAGACAGTAGTGTTCTCCCTCAAGTCGAGCCTTGACAGGATGCAGATGGCGACACTGGACGCAGCGTAGTCGTTACACTCGCGGCATACTCTCTGACTCCAGTAGCACCTGAATTTTAAGATTCCCGTTCTTTATTTTCTTGTCAGAATGCAGGCTCTATGTTATTGTTATTTTTAGGGTCGAGCAACCGGATATAGCTCTCGATGATGATTTCGATACGGATGCAGTAATGGAAGTTGACGAAGATAAAGAAAATGAAGCTGAGACTATGGAATCGGATGATGTGGAAGGAAAGCGAGCGAAGGTAGGGTTGCAGGCTTAGTAAGCTCGGTAAAATCAATAATGTGAAGGGGTTCAACCTTACCAGAAAGTGGTTTTCTGGGAGAAAGTAAACGTAGTAGTTTTCTTGTCGAAGCGTACAGTCCGGGAAACAAGACTTTATCTGAATGAGAAAGAAAGCGGCTCTTTTGGCAAATCTTCCGTTGTATATTGGTCCTACGAACTATTGCACCACTCTGGGACGCAATTTTACGTCGCTAAGGAGAGAGTAACGGATATTTACCTTTCTCTGCTTTATTGTACTGTCACTTTTTATTTTCTAGTTTTTTTTTTGCTTTTGTAAATTCAATCGATTCAAGGTTGATCATGCTAAGCTGAAGATTACATTCGAAAAGTACAAGCATCTGGCCGATATGCTTGTGCTTCATATGCGCTCGGATGAAGAGGCTGTAGCCGAGGAAGATTATGAAGGCGTACGACAGGATGCTTTGATTGATTGGTGCGTTTTTTCACCGCTATCAGAAATTTCAAGCCGATGTTCAGCTTGGAGGGGGCATTTTGCATTTTCGCCACTTCGCTTTTCTGGTTCATGTTCATTGAACAGGTCTAACTTTGCTCAAACCTGTAAACTCCTGTGAAGGTAGAATCTCGCCATTAGGCCACTTTGTTCACAGAAATTTACAGGTTCTCACAAGGTGACTTGCAAGCTTGCACTCCATATACCGAAGATGGACTGAGCGTGGACGGGGCGGGGCGTCGGCCACGTATTTCATTAAAACCTGGCAGAGGACGAGCTTCTGCCGCTATCTTTTCACTTTTGGCACGACTGCAGTCATGGCTTTGTGTGGCAACAGACAGGGTAGCGGTTGTTTCTAATGGAAATATACCCCCGAAAAACGCGTCCTACACTATGTTCAGCATGTACCCATGCCCTCTCTAAATTTGGGATATGGAGTGCAGCTGCGTACAATTCGCTGCCCCTACCAAGCCGAACTAACCGATTTCACCGGGGTTCAGTGGTGACTAGTAGCCAAGAATAGGCTAGTTGTTGCTTCTTTTCTGGGTGCACCACCCGCGGCCATAAACATAAATAATGCAGTGCCCCCGCACAGGTGCTTGACCCAGAGAAGTGTGCACGGTTAGGCGTTACGCTCACCTTTTTTTGAGATGAGGTTGAATTTTTATTTAAAATGCTGATGATCGACTTGTTAAGGTATTTGGAAATGATAGAAGGTGATTTGGAAACGGAAGAAGATCTGCACATCCAACGCACCATCTGCCATCGAGTCATTCGTCGACTTGTCACTGAAGATCATGTATTGATTGAAATGGATTCGGACGAGAAAAACCCCCTCTTGTGCGTACATCCTAACTACGTCGTCACAGATCAATAGATCCATCAATATTGACATTTCCACACTGGCACCGGTTACACTCCTTGGTTAAGCCCTCCTTTTTCACTTTGTAAATTGTCTGATTTCTTTCTCACAGTTTTGAAATACTACATTCATTACTCATTAAAAAAGTTCGAGGTGGGTGAATGTTAGGCTGTGTTCATACTTTGCGGCAACGTCTATCAGCGTTCGGGAATAGAGAGTATGGGGAAGTAGTAGGGTAGCAGACTATCAGTAGAGTATGGAAGGTAGGAGGGAGCAGACAGCTGGATTAGGCGTCGTAAATTTGAGGCGTGTGCAACCGCACCGTACTACTACACAATACGTGCATTGAAATTGCATATTTCTGTGCTTTAGCAGCTGTGCGATGCGGTTGCACACGCCGCAATTTCATGACGCCTGACCCAGCTGTCTGCTCTCCCTGTATCCCCATACTCTATCAACAGTCTGCTACCCTCCTAATTCCCCATAGCTCATGAATGCTGGTGGACGCTGCCGCAAAGCATGAAGCGGTCTTAGGGAGATAAGACGTGGAGCACAAAAGGACCCTGTACCAGTCTCATACTGACCTGGCAGCAAACCTACAGGTTCCAAAAGTTTTGTCTTGAACCTTCCTGAGTTCTGCTCACGCAGTTTCGATTTCCATTGTTTCATGAGATGTTTTGTTTTACATGATGGATGTGGCCCTCTCATGAAATAGTCCCTATCCGCCCTGATCGTTCTCACCCGCTAACACATGCTTCTGATCTCTCTTACCTGCAACATTTTGAGTTTGTAAACAATTTCATACATTCACTTCATCGTGCTTTAATGAAATGTTTGAGTAAGATTGTGTCTGTAATGTTCGCTTAAAAGGAGTTACCACTGAACCTGTGTACAGTCGTCATCCGGTAACTTGATTTGGGCGGCAAGGGACGCGACGCGGCTGCGGTGTGTTGCGAGCGCGGCGATCAGCTGTTTCCAGCCTATTTTAGCCATTTTCTCCCTAGTTTACGCTGTTTTGGCTGCTTTTCTCACGATTATTTTCTATTTTTTTAAGGTTAGTTGTTCTATCGTCTATATGAAGTATATTAGGACGAGGAGTGTTTTCTTTTGTTTTGCAATAGAGTGTTTTTGCGATTTTTTTTCAGCTATTTGTTCGATTGTCTGCTTAACTGTTTAATTGTACGCAAAAACCAGAAGAATCTCAATCATAATTTAACTTGTGAAGACAAGAAACAAGAGAAAAGCAGCCAAAACAGCGTAAACTAGGGAGAAAATGGCTAAAATAGGCTGGAAACAGCTGATCGCCGCGCTCGCAACACACCGCAGCCGCGTCGCGTCCCTTGCCGCCCAAATCAAGTCACCGGATGACGACTGTAGTTAACGAGCATGATGAAGCATGTACGCGTAATGACTACGGGGTGGCTAAAAAGGGGGTGCGACAAGGCAATCGTAGCTCGTTACGCTCCTAGGCGTCGTGTGCGACGTCGCGCACACAACAATGTTTCTGGGTCTTAGATGGCGACAATGGACAATGTGAACCCAAAATTTTAGATCCCTTCCATGAACTCATAAACGATGAGGCAGAATACGTTCAAGATTGACTAATTTAGACCTGATCAGCTGAAAGACAATTGGGCTTTATTGTTGGATCCAGTACAATTCTAAAGCACGATCACCGACATTCCACCGTGAATACTGTCCCAATAAGGTTAGAAGACTATGTGGGGGTTGCTCTTTTTGCAGTTGGCCTCAAACGCCTTCAAAGCCTTCTTTGATGGGCTAAACACCGAGTTTTATAGGAACCTCTTGATGGTGAGTTAGGTAGTTTCGAAATTTCCTTGGCCGCTGTAGCTGCGTTTAGTCGAAGAAGATTTCTCGCACTGTTGAGAACTATTGCTACCTCAGAATCTCGATTTTTTTTTTGGATTTTTGCTTATAGTACTTCTATGCGCTGATCAGGAATATGGTATTCCATTCGCATTTGACATCAGCGCGATTTAGCACACTGCTCAGGCTGAGTCTGGGAGGAGGATCGATTTCCTACCCGCCAAACAAATCTTTAGCACAGCACTCATGATAGTTTTAGATTTGTCACCAGGATGTCAGAATAACCTCGGTATGTAAGTTTCCACCGATTCTGGTGAGAAAAGTGCTGGCGCTGAATTGGCGTCTGTTGACAAAGATGCTGAAATTAAATGCTATATTCGTGGTCACCCCATGGAATAAACTATATGGCCAAGGTTTCAGCAAAAATATATTTTTTTGAGATCCTGGGTTGTTAATAGTTCAGTATCCCCATTCCTCATTTTACCAACAATTCCTCCTCGCTCCGCGCGGTCCTTATTGCATCTCGTAGGCCTTTTTCCATGGCCCTTCTGATCAAGGATGTAGTCTATACGTTCGGTAGATGGGGAACCCTTAGCGCCCTTTCACGATATTTTGGGTGCTCCCGCAAACGGCTTCCACCCTTTTTGCGATCAGCTCCTTGCTAACCTGACATGGATGACCGATTTCTTGTCATTTTCAGTAAATGAATGCACTGAATGTTCGTAGTTGGCTGCGTTTTTTTTTCTTCTCACCAGCATTGCCTTTAGTTTTCCATTGACTGGTGATCTCCGTGTGGAAGCCCCGCTAATTCAGCTTGAACTTATCAGTGCGGTGTTCCTTCATAAGTTTACTACCTAGACAAGCTCGTGAAGTAAGATATACGGTGGGGTTCATTTTGATCATGCAGTTTGTCAGTGAGTGGGCGGTGCCCTCATTAATAGCATTTAGAGTGTTTCCAAACCCCTTATGATCATCAGCTGTTTCAGAAATCTGCCTTTCTATGTTGCGTTCTTGTCGTGACACTCCCACAAAAGTCAGCCACGTTAAGCTGTCTGAAAGGATCTGCTGGAAATGCTGGGCAGGAAGAAGGGGTAAGTTTATCTTTGTAGTTCTAGTGTTCCATACGAATGTCTTTTCGATGAACAGTAGAAGAGTGCCACTCTTACTCATGGAAGGTTACTGAACGAACATGCCAAAGAAAAGCAGAGGGCAGTGGGCGCGCCAGTTGTTCTGCAGATGATAGCACCACGGTGGGACCACAATGATCCATGAAGTCCATATGGAAAAGCAAAAATGGACGTTCCTAAGTACGGCCTAATCTGCTGCGGACGGAGGGACATGTCAAGCGGGATGAGTTTGGCGCAGTGCAGCAAGTAACTAACGAGACTGTGTAATTTCGTTCGTATCACTTGTTTTCTACCAGTTGTTACCACATACCCGCTTCAACAACTGACAAAGAACGGGATTGGCGCCGTGGCACACTCCTACTGCCTGACACGCCCCTTCATCCGCAGCGAACTAGAGTATGGAATCTCTAGTCGGGGCAGCATGTAAAACAGGGAAACCGAGAAAAGCCGGCGATGGCTGCGTATTCCTATGCCCATTTTCCTCTCTTACACACACGTCTCCTCTCTCGTGTCTGAACCCTCGCAGCATTCACCAGGAATACTTGGAAACCCTCCCCCTCTTGTCACCTTTAGATATGGTCGACTCATAAAACGTCTGCATCCTGGTGCAGAACACTTAGAATATTTCGAACCAAAAGAAATACTTTCTATTAGACAGTAGTACCCACCTACAGTCCTTAGGGGAACGTCTGTGTGCCGTGGATTTTGGCATTGTGTCAGCTCCTTTTCAGGAGTCTTGCCAGTCTTGTCAATTAGCAGATTTTAGGGGAACATGTGTGTTTTATACGAAATTGACAGCTGCCGTTAAACCGCGACGATACCATGATGGTTTCACCGTTCCTGACCCGTGGAAGGTAGGAATCAGTCTTAGAAAATTTTTTATCCCCTTCTTTTGTTTCCTTTGCGCTTGAGGAATCGAAAAAAACCCTGCCAAACCCGCGTCTTGCAAACCATATGGCAGTCATGCACACAGGTGAAGGATGTGTGAAAGCGCTCTGACGGAGAGGTGCTATTTTGGAGGACCTCTGAGTTTTGAAAACGGGGTGTAATCCAGAAGGTGCACATTAAGCCGCGTTTGAACTTCGCGATGACGCGCGCTTACGCGCTGTACCATGCTTTGAGGCGCGACGACGTGCTACCATTGCAACGGTGCTCCTTTGCCACAGATGGAACAGAGCCCTAGACGGATATCGATGTGCGCCGGCCGATACCGCTTTGAGAGAGCATAGGACAATAGGACGATTCGCGCTGCCTAATCACAAATTCTAAGCCTTATGTGCTTCTATGCTCTCCCAAAATACTAGTGGGCGGCTCCAATCGATATCTGTCTACCGCTGCGTTCCTGTCTGGAGAGCTGGAGTGCTGCTGTAATTGTAGCCCGTCGACGCGCGTCATAGGCAGCTTTCAGACTTCGCGACGGCAGCGCTTCGCTCGCGTTTGGCGCAATCCATGCCGT